ATAATTGGATCCGCACAGCTGACCCGAATGCGCTCGGGCGTGGCCGGGCTCTGCAAGCTAAGCACCTCATTGACATTCCATTGCTTGCGCGCAGCTTTAAGAGCATCCCGGATGGCGAAAAAGACAGCGCTGCCCATGAATAGCGGTGGTTCACCGACACCCCGTGATCGCTGGATCGTGCGGAGATTCTCCCACTCTACGTCCTTCAGAAGACTGACGTTGAAGACTTGTGGAATGTCCCTAAAGCCAGGGATCTTGTAGTTTCCGGGACCCCTGGTGAAGATCTGGCCCGAGGCACGATGCCAGAGACTCTCTTCAGTGGTGAAGAGGCCCTGGCCTTGAATAAACGCGCCCTCAATCTGCCCGTAATCGATGGATGGATTGATGGTGCGTCCGACGTCCATCTTGATGTCGGCACGCAGAGGCGTCCAGTCGCCGGTCAGTGTGTCAATCTCTACCTCCGCGGCTGTTACACCCTGCGTGAAGTAGAAGAACATCTGACCCTTGTTCTCCCCCCAGACGTACCCGATATCAGGGGTACGGTAGAAGCCCTGGGCGGAGAGGTTAACACGATCGAAGTAGGCTGCATGGGCGAGTTCCTTCAAGCTGGCCCCGGGCATCTTCTCACGGTACGGACGCAGTCGCTCGTTCAACTGTTCGCATGCGTTGAAGATGGCATAGCCGTTGAGGTCCGAACTGGCGGACGCTGCTGTAGAGGATGTGTTGGCGACAGTGTTTGTAGCCGTCTCCGAGATAAAGACGTCGGACTGGGGAACACCAAGTGCTTCTGCTGCAATCATTGTCATCTTTGTATGCAGTCCTTGGCCCATTTCAACTCCACCGTGGGCGACGAGTACGCTGCCGTCGTGATAAATATGGACCAATGCGCCAGCCTGGTTCAGAAACAAAGCTGTGAAGGAAATGCCAAACTTCGTGGGAATGATGGCCATTCCACGCTTGGACCATTTGTGTTTCTTGTTATACTCCTCCACGGCTTTGCGGCGTTCTGCGTAGGAGCTTTCCTCCAGCACCTGCTTGTACATCAAAGGAACATGCCAGTCTTTGAGCTCCTGGTGGAAATGAGTCTTGTCTCCCGGCTGATACATATTCTGCGATCGGAACTGTTCGACAGGAATGTCAAGATGATCGGCAATCTCTTCCATGAACGACTCGGCGAAGAACATGCCCTGAGGGCCACCGAACCCACGGAAGGCAGTGTTGGAAACGGTATTTGTCTTGCAGACACGGCCACGGACGTGAACGTTTGGAATCTTGTAAACTCCGTCGATGTGGGAGAGACTTCTTTCCACCACGGCGCCAGACAGATCTTGCGTATGGCCTCCGTTGGCATATACGTCGGCGTCAAGTGCGAGGAGTTTTCCTTCTTTTGTCACGCCGACCTTCCAGTGACAGAGGAATGGGTGGCGCTGTCCAGAGGTAATTATATCTTCATCCCGATTCAACATGCATCTAACAGGCCGTTTGGTCTTCGCGGCTGCTGTGGCACAAATGCCTGCTAGTTGCACCGACCGCGTCTCTTTGCCGCCAAAGCCGCCACCCAGTCGTTTGACTCGAGACACAATCTTGTTGGCTGCCGCACCAGTAACCTGAGCAACATATGTTTGGCTATTCGGAAGTTAGCTTGCATTGTGAGATGCAACAAAGGGATAATAACTCACGTTTCCGTGGGATTCTGAGTACTACTCCAGATCTCCATCTCCCCATCCTCAGGTTTCGGAATGGCTACGCAAGCCTGAGTTTCCAGATAGAAATGCTCTTGGCCACCCATCCTTGATACTCCATGGAATACGCGATCCGCTTCTTCGAAAGCTTTATCCGTGTCGCCACACTTGATAAAGCGGAAGTGGTCAAAAAATGATTTGGCCTCGATTGCCTCCTCAATTGTGAGGATTGCGGGCAGTTCTTCATACTCAATCTTCACAGCTCTCGAAGCCTCCTCGGCAATCTTAGCAGAGCTTGCAAGTATCATGCCAATGGGCTGGCCAGCAGTCCTGACTTCATCCACCGCAAAGAATACTTCATCGCACTTTGGAGCACCCCACCAATTCGCTTTGGGGTTAGGAAGGTCCCTATGGTCCACATAGTCATAGACTCCAGGGATATCCAATGCGGCTGTCGTGTCGACACTGACAATCTTCGCATGAGCCTTGGTGGAGAGGACCAAGCAACCGTACAGTTCATTCTTCTGCACAGGAATATCGTCCGTATACTGCGCTTCTCCAGTGGCTTGCTTCAACGCAGACACGTGAGGTGTAGCTTGACCCAGAACCCTTTGTTGGTAGGCCTTCGAGGACTCGTGGTCTTTCTGTCCTGAGGAAATGGCTCTTTCAATCTCAGCAATGACATCTCCGTCAACATCTGTGTCTTTGACCTCAATCTCAGAGAGCACATCATGATAGAATCGGTAGAAGAACCCAAGGGCTAGAGACCTGCGGTAAGTTGCCATCCCACCAGGGACGCCAAATTTTAGGTCAAAGTCCCGTTCCAAAGCACTCATGGTCCCCTCGAGCGTCGCCGGGTTCGTGAATTTCTTGCCAATCAAGAACGACTCCGCGTTGCGCGCGGATACCGTCATAGGTGCTAGGCCACCGAAAACGAGGTTCACGCTCGTCACATCATTTGATGGGGAAAGCGACACACGCAGAGCGGCGTTGACGATGGCGATGTCATCATCCTTTCTCTTTGACTGTTTATAAGCCCGAAGATACTCTCCCTGTTTGGACGAAATCGGAATACGCAAGCTCGCAATGACGGCATCTTCTGGAAGGGCAGTCAACCGGTAGCCTTTGAAAAACTGGTCCATAGGGATCTCGGTCTCCCCTCTCAAAGACTTGGCGATGAGTACAGTGTTCGTAGCGACGAACACCGGATTTAAGTCGGAGATGGGAGATGCCGTGGCCAGATTTCCCGCGGGGGACGCAACATTCCTGATCTGCCTCCCTGCGAAATACCGAAGTTGTTTCTTGATGGCGATGAACGGCTGACCCTGTACCGGGCCGTACTTTTCAACCGCTTCGTCGCAAATTGACTCCAAGTCCGTGAGAGACACATTGGCTCCGAGTTCAAGATGGTCGTCTTTGAGAGAGTATTGACGAAGTTCTGGAATGTCGCCCACGTAGACAGACGCGTTGTATTTCATCGCCTTGAACTTCACTTCAATCTGAGTCTCCGTACTCCCACCGATGATTTTGGACGCAGGGTGTGCGCTTTTAATCTCCAATAGTTGCTGCATAGTGACGGGCCTGTACCACTTCTTTTTCTTATTCCCAAAGACAACGGGTCGAAACTCGTGTCTCTGGAGAGCCGGCGGGAATATCAATTCCGTTCCTGGATCGTATTTGATAAAGTCAGGGGGTGTGAACTTCGGAGAACTACCATCGTTGGTCTCCTCGTTTGACAACTGTTTGCAACACCCTCCTTTACCATTCTGTTTTTCCATGCAGCAACCTGTTCCACCGTTAGCACTTGCTTTCCCACATACATTTGTGGCCGTGAAACTGTGGGCGGCGTCCAGAATCGGTCTGTACCCTGTACAGCGGCAGAGATTCCCGTCAAAAGCTTCTTCCACCGCATGTTGCGAGGGCTCGGGGGTATTGCGAAGGAGGGCATAGAGGCTCTAAAATGTAATCAATCAGCTCAGCCTAATCGACAGAGATATTGTGGTGTACGAAGATCATACCATGACAATTCCAGGCGTACAAAAGCCACATTGACTGCCATTTCCAATCGCCAGCCGCTCCTGAACTGCGTGGGGGTTCTTCACATTCCCGATACCCTCAACCGTTATAACATGCTTCCCGTCGACGCTTATCACCGGTGCCAGGCAAGCATTGACAGATGCGTGGTAAATCTTCTTGGTAGTCGGATTGAGGTGGGAGACGACCTGTAAGGTGTAAGAATTCCTGTCGTGAAGACAGAGTCAGATGTCAATGTCGTCTTGACTTACAACTGTGCAGGCACCGCAGCCTCCCTCTGCACAACCCAACTTAGTTCCCGTCAACCCTATCCCTCTCAAGTATTCTAAAAGAGTGAGCTCTGGATCGACATTATCGAGTATGACTTTTGTGCCATTGAGGTAGAAACGGATTGTGTCATCCCATTCCTCGGTCAACTGGGCCAAGGAAATAGCCTTGGAAGGCTCCACCTCCACAAGCGGTGAGCTCAAGATTCCAGGCGCCATTGGAGTCTCAGACGGAGCTCAAAGTCTGATTTCCTATGTGTGAATGCTCTCAGGGAGAGCTCTCCCAGCTGAGGCGATAGCTTCGTTTGTGTGGAGTCAAACGGAGAAGCTGGCATGCATGAGTCCAGCCGGCGATAGAAGAGACGGATCAACAAAGAGAGAGATCCGGATTATGAGCAACTGTAATGATATTTGAGGTAATAATTCAAGCAGCAGCAGATGAATCCATCACCTAAAGTGATATGGAAAAGATATGTGTGCAGTGTCTCAAAACTGCGATGCACAGACTAGTAAAATAGTTTATCGCCTCTTATCCACCATTTTGTATCTCCACCCCGCTCGTTATCCCCCCTTCGCGGGGATCGCCACCATCCGATGAGCAATGCACGTGGAGAGCGGAAAGCAACGGCCTCCGTCCACGGTTGGAGTTCCTGCCAATGACGAGCAACACTGCGAGGCAAGCCCCGAGACAGCGTACTCCAGAGTAGCATTCATTATGTCTGAGATTTCTGAGATTGTTTGGCATGTGCGCAGATCGAATCAATTGAACATCACTGGCACTTCTTATTACTATCGAGAGACTACGAGAATTCGAAAAAAGCTTGATTGAATTCCTCAGGCAGCAACGCCAAGCCATATGCTCTCGCCCGGTGTCACGGGTTATCGCCTATATAAGCCAGATAGTATAACACAAGAAGACAGATATATATCACAGAAGTAAGGAAACTTCCCAAGTATCAAAGGACACAAGAGACAGGCGATAATGTCCAACCTTGCAAGCAACTTTTCAATTGGTCCTCTATTCTCTGAGTTTAGCACCAACGAAATCCTTCTCATCTTCCTCCCATTTCTTTCGCTCAACGACGCTCCGGGCCCTATTTGTAGTAAAGTTAGTCAATGAACTGCCTTCGTGCGCACCGTATATAGGGGACATGAAAGCACGTACCGATAAGCTCTGACGAATCGCCAGATTTCAGTGTCCGCCAGGTTCCAAGCTTCAGCCACGTCTTTGATGCCAATCCTGTTGGTCTCCTTGCTCTTCAAGACTTCCCTTGCCTTTGTGATTAGATCATTTTCCTTCTCAATGCCCTGTTTGCTTGGGTTGGCGTTCTGCATTGAACCTTTGTTGGTATTTTGCGCAGACTCTTTCGTTTCGCCTTCTTTCTTGGTTTCGGTGGGGCCACTGCGAGGGATCTTGAATCCGAATTGCCATTCGAACTCGTCCAGAAGTTCAGAAGGCAGGACCTGGCCGTTGTTTGCTGGCAATGATTCCACAGTCATCCACAATGAAGTGCCAATTGCCGAGTCGTCTGCAACGGCCTGCTTCAGCACGACCGCTCGGGCGGCGCCTCCAAACTCACTACTCAATTGCTCTTTAGTCACTTCCGTCAGCCATGGGTCGCGTTCAGTTTCGCGGCGAATATGTCGAGTGGTCACTTCCTCAGATCCCTGTTGCAGGCTAATCAGAGTGTACGGGTGAGGGAGAGTGCCTATCGTAAAAACGTGTGATGAGTTCTTGTAGGTAGCGGGCTGACTGATATGCATCGGCCGGTCAGGGTTGCACGGATGACACTTCTGCAGATTTGGAGGGCAAGATTCAGGTATGGGCGAGCTCGGGCATTGACCGAGAGCTCTGGCAAGGCGCAGGGCGGGTTCCACTAGGGCAGTCGTATGCTCAGGGAATGGCTTCAAAACAGCAATGCCGGCCTGGAAGGCGTTCTGGAATGTGTTATGTAGATGTGAGTTGACCAGCTCGACGAGCGCCAGTCTCCCAGCGGTCGGCGATGAAACGATCTTCTCTGCGAGTGTCGGATAGTGAGTGGTGATGGTCGCAGAGGTGTAGAAAGCCAGAGCGCTCGGCTGTTCGACCTTGAAAATCTCCCCGGGCATGATGTCCAGCATGGATCTCGCCTTTTCGTCCACACTCTTGAGGGCATTTTGCACCACATTCTTGAGCGCGTCGTTGATAAGCGTCTTCTCGCCAGCGAAAAGAGCACTGCCAATGTGGTCGAATCTTGTAATCTGCGCAGGATCGACCCCCCGACGAAAGTAAGACAGCAGCGGATCATCATATCGCGCCATTGGGAAACAGCGCCAATCGGCGAGTAACCCGGTGCCCATATGACCCCAGGCAAGCCACCTGAACAGATCATACTCAAGATCTTTATTGACTTTCAAGGTCTGTACCATCTCGTAGAGCTTATTGTTCTTCGCTTCGCCACGGCTGAGCACGACTGGCCTAAACCCCTGAGCGAACCAAGCCCGACGCCAGGCAAGAAGAAGCTGCGCATCAGCATTCTCTGCATCCTTATTATCTCCGTGAATCGATTCGTAATAGGTATAGATGAAGGGTCTCTCTCGAAGTGGAGGCAGTACGGAACGGTTCTCATCGAGAGTGATGGACGACGAAAAAGGGTTGATCCATGCAAAATTGCTGAACCATTTCGACTCGCCGCTGGTACTATTCTTCTGTTCTGGCGGTTTGTGGGAAGCTGGCCGGAAGAATGGCAGGTGATAGTCACTCAGAGACGGGAGCTTCGGCAGGGGTACATATTTCGCTGGGCCAGAGACCGCTTCTTCCCCAGAGGATGATGCGGAACTGGGGGAGGAGGAAAATATGACCAGTACGAGGGCAACAAAAACGATAATGGCTAAGAGAGCGGTGCTTCGATGCGGAATCATCTTTCTCTCTTTCTAGGGAGAGAGCAGATTCTGATGGTTACGACAGGGGGTTGGACTCCTGCTGTAAAGTGGGTAAAGAACGACGTTGCGCTTGCGATCGCGGTAATTCAAGTGGAAATTTCAGAGTAAAAGCAGATCGGCATCACAGTTACATTTGCAACGAGTCAACGGCATAAACAAGACGAAGTCTCAGGTCATCGCAAGCAATGAGCAGAGCTGAACCAGTGCTGATGCTGTGAAGGCCATTCGTATCTATACAGCGTAGGTAGCCTGACCTTGACCCAGATCTTTCGATACTACATCAAGAACTGAGGTACTTGGGACCCAGGAACAGTATGGTCGTAGCCTAAACAAGTTAGGTACCAGGTACCTGCACAGCCGCATCCATGAGTGAAGGACAAATAGGGAGTAACACTAGGCCTATTCCGGTGAGCAGTGGCAGTCCACGTACCTTGGTGCCTTAATGCCTGGAACCCCAAAAGGCGGTGACGGCGACAGGAAGATGAGTGTGGGGCTTGGGGCAGCGAAATCGGCACTTTTCTCATAGATGCCCCTCTTGACTCATACTATTATTCTTCTGCTCTGTCACTCAATAATTATCCGGCCCCTGTTGTGAAAGTCGAGTGCCCAAACAACAGTTTCGGGCCTCTGGACCGCAATAATGGGTATTGAAACAGCCTCCTTACAAGATCGCCTCGAGAGATGGGCGCAGAGGCTACAAAATTTAACAGTATCTCCTCTGACCCGAGACTATCCCGAGAACCAAAAGGCGGATCTGAAGAGAGCAATTGAGGCCTTTGAATCTCTCAAGCTTCCAAAGGATGTGCATACCGGACTGCAAAACCTCTCCGGATCATCGTCCGGATTCATTGCTTTCTTGACTGCTTTTGTTGTCCTCGTAGCTCGTTTGACGGGCGATGAGGATATCGCTGTTGCGACCAGCTCAGCAGAAGATGGCCGGCCATTTGTCTTGCGGGTCTCAATTGAGCAGTCTGAGACCTTCGGACAACTATACTCTAAAGTCGAGAATGTATGTGGTACTTTCGTTCATTGTTGGCCATCTCTGACCATATAACAGGCATTCAATCAAGGAGCTGCCGATATAGTTCCGTTGGGTAGCCTACGGTCCTACATTCAGGAAAAGACCAAGTCAGAACGTGCCCCGATCCTGTTCCGCTTTGCTGCCTACGATGCCCCCGCCTCGTCACAAGAATACCCTGCCAATACCTTCGAAACTACCGACCTGGTTGTCAATGTTGCAAACGCGAACGGGTCCACATCCGAGGCGGAACTGGGTGCATACTACAATCAGCGTCTGTTCTCGAGCGCCAGGATTGCTATCATTCTGAAGCAGCTTTCACAGATTGTGCAGAACGCCTCTAACAATCCCGAGGAAGCGGTTGGAAGAATTGATTTCATGACGGAGGATCAGCGGTCGCTGCTACCAGACCCCACATCAGATCTGCATTGGTCCAACTTTCGCGGAGCCATCCATGATATCTTTGCACAGAATGCTGAGAAGCATCCGGACAAGCTCTGTGTGGTGGAGACCAAGTCGGAGCAGTCTCCTCACCGCGAATTTACCTACCGGCAAATCAACGAGGCGTCGAATATCCTAGGCCACCACCTGGTCCAGGCTGGCATCGAGAGGGGAGATGTTGTCATGGTCTATGCCTACCGTGGCGTTGACCTTGTGGTAGCTGTCATGGGCATTCTCAAGGCCGGTGCAACTTTTTCGGTCATCGATCCTGCCTACCCGCCTGAGAGGCAGTGCATCTACCTCGATGTTGCCCGCCCGCGAGCACTCATTAACATCGCGAAGGCCACCAAGGAAGCTGGCGAGTTGACTCAGCTTGTTCGGTCTTTCATCGATGAAAACCTTGAGCTGCGGACGGAGATTCCCGCGCTGGCACTACAGGATGACGGTACTTTGGTTGGAGGATCTGTTGACGGTCAAGATGTCCTCGCGAATCAAGTCTCTTTGAAGTCCAAGCCAGTGGGCGTCGTGGTCGGCCCCGACTCGACCCCGACCTTGTCATTCACCTCCGGTTCTGAGGGTAGGCCAAAGGGCGTCAGAGGACGTCATTTCTCTCTGGCGTACTACTTCCCATGGATGTCCGAGACCTTCAAGCTTACCCCCAATGATCGTTTCACTATGCTGAGTGGTATCGCTCACGATCCTATTCAGCGAGACATCTTCACACCGCTCTTCCTGGGTGCCCAGCTATTGGTTCCGGCCCGTGAGGATATTCAGAACGAGAGACTCGCGGAGTGGATGCGCGAGTATAGCGCTACTGTTACCCACCTGACACCTGCAATGGGTCAAATTCTTGTCGGTGGTGCCTCTGCGCATTTCCCTGCTCTTCATCATGCTTTCTTCGTTGGTGATATCCTGATCAAGCGAGACTGCCGTTCTCTGCAGGCCTTGGCTCCTAATGTCAACATTGTCAACATGTATGGAACTACGGAGACTCAGCGTGCGGTCAGTTACTATGAAATCCCCAGCTACTCTAGCCAGGAGGGCTTCTTGGATACTATGAAGGACGTCATTCCCGCGGGTCGCGGAATGGTCGACGTGCAGATGTTGGTTGTCAACCGGTTCGACCCTAGCCGCATTTGCGCCATTGGCGAAGTTGGTGAGATCTACGTTCGTGCAGGTGGCCTGGCAGAGGGCTATCTGAGCAATGAGGAATTGAACAAGAAGAAATTCCTCACCAATTGGTTCGTTGATCCGCAGACGTGGGTCGAGAAGGACAAGGCTGAAAGCCAGGGCGTGAACGAGCCCTGGAGGCAATTCTACGTTGGACCCAGAGATCGCTTGTACCGCAGTGGAGATCTGGGCAGATACACTCCTTCTGGCGATGTTGAGTGTTCCGGGCGTGCTGACGATCAGGTGAAGATCCGAGGGTTCCGCATCGAACTCGGTGAGATTGATACGCATCTTTCTCGGCATCCTCTTGTCCGGGAGAACGTCACTCTGGTGCGAAGGGACAAGTTTGAGGAGCCGACTTTGGTCAGCTACTTCGTGCCAGACATGAGCAAGTGGTCCTCATGGCTCGAAAGCAAGGGCCTCAAGGATGATGATTCTGCCGAAGGAATGGTTGGCATGCTCAGACGATTCCGGCCTCTTCGCGATGACGCTCGGGAACACTTACGCAGCAAGCTCCCTGCGTATGCAGTGCCTACGGTCTTCATTCCTCTGAAGCGGATGCCTCTGAATCCTAACGGCAAGATCGACAAGCCTGCATTGCCGTTCCCAGATACTGCCGAACTCAGTGCGGCAGCGCCTCGCCGCAGATCATCCGTCCAGCAGACTCTGTCCGAGACCGAGCAGGTTTTGGCCCAGATCTGGGCTAACCGCATTGCCAACGTCACCGCTCACATGATTGGACCTGACGATTCATTCTTCGATCTGGGCGGACACAGTATCCTGGCTCAACAGATGTTCTTCGATCTGAGACGCAGGTGGCGCGGAATCGACATCAGCATGAATGCCATCTTCCGTAGCCCTACCCTCAGAGGGTTCGCTGCGGAAATCGATCGCTTGGTCAATTTCGAGTCATTCGCAAGTAATGCCAACGAGGCTGATGCCACCGCAGATGCTCTGGCCACTTCCAACGAAGCTGATGACGAATATTCCAAAGATGCTAGGAAGCTGGTTGGGACCTTGCCCAAGTCCTTCCCTGGACGAACCGAGGACATGCTGTCGGGCGAGCCTACCGTGTTCCTGACCGGCGCAACTGGATTCCTCGGTGCACACATCCTCCGTGATCTTCTCACTCGTAAGTCGCCTTTGGCGAGGGTCGTGACACTCGTTCGTGGTAAGAGCGACGAGCAGGCTCTCGATCGCATACGGTCTACATGCAGAGCGTACGGCTTCTGGGATGAGTCCTGGACTAGCAGGCTGCAGTGCGTCTGTGGTAACCTGGGAGAGCCACGGTTCGGTCTGTCGGAGTCGCTGTGGAACGATCTTACAGAACGAGTGGATGCTGTGATTCACAACGGTGCTCTGGTGCACTGGGTGTACCCTTACTCGACTCTCAAGCCAGCCAACGTTTTGGGTACCATTGATGCTTTGAAGCTTTGCGCTAGCGGAAAACCCAAGCAGTTCTCTTTTGTCAGCTCGACCAGCGTACTCGACAATGACCATTATGTCCTTGAGTCGGAACGTAGCATTGCGGCCGGCGGTGCGGGTATCAGCGAGGATGACGACCTGGAGGGTAGCAGCGTCGGACTGGGAACCGGTTATGGACAAAGCAAGTGGGCTGGCGAGTACCTCGTCAGAGAGGCCGGCCGGAGAGGATTGAAGGGAACCATTGTTCGTCCTGGTTACGTTCTTGGTGACTCCAAGACCGGAAGTAAGCATCATCCATTACACCCCGACCAGTTTTCCGCTTAAGATTGGGTTGAAAAAATTGACTAAAATTTACTCCTTAGCCACAAACACGGACGATTTCCTCATTCGAATGATGAAGGGATGCATTCAGCTTTCTGCTCGCCCCAACATCCACAACACTGTCAACATGGTGCCCGTCGACCACGTTGCTCGCGTCGTCATCGCCGGTGCCTTCCAGCCCCCTTGCACGCCAATCGGGGTCGCGCAGGTGACCGGACACCCCAGGCTTCGTTTCAACCAGTTCCTGGGCGCTTTGCAGACCTACGGATACGACGTACCCCAAGTCGACTATGTCCCATGGAAGATGTCTCTGGAGCATTACGTCAATGACGGAAAGCACGATGATCCCGAGTCACAGCACGCACTGTAAGTCACCCCTATGGAGATCGTTACAACAGGCGCAAAACACGGACTAACTGCTGCCTCAGTATGCCTCTCTACCACTTCGTAACGGCAGACCTGCCCTCCAACACTAAGGCTCCTGAGCTGGACGACGTTCACGCCGCTGCTTCCCTCCGTGCGGACGCCGCCTGGTCGGGCATCGATGCCTCCGCTGGCGCTGGCGTGACCGAGGAGCTTGTCGGTCTCTACGCTTCCTACCTCG